TGTAATCCCGCTGACAACATTTAAAAAAACTGCCTGGCATTAGAAAATAAGACATACAAATCAGTAAATAGACTAGATAATGACAATTTAACAAGACAAATTTTCAAGACAGAGTACATTTTCTGAAGAAAAAAGAAGTGCTATTTTAAAGGGTCCAATTTGGTACTTCCCAGTGCCCAAAAAGGAGACAAAATAGAAACATGGGTTCCTCTTCATTTACTTATTATTCAAAAAGTAAAATCTACATGCTATGATGCTAAATTTTATGATTTCCTCAACAAAGACACGATTCAAACGTGCATTAAAGTAACAATAAACAAAGAAAATCCGTTTTTTTTGGTATGGAGAGAAAGTATGGATATTTAGAATGATACTGGATTCAGACCAGGAAAGAAAGGAGAAAACATAACCTGAGAGGATTATACAAATAGTAACTTACATTCTCTTGGATCTTCAGACCAACTTGCTTATTAAGGACCTACAGTTTAAGAGAAAATAACATCATCAATTTATGATTGCAGACTGATGTTTAGTATCTGCAGAAAGTAGCTCCTTGTGCCTAATCGAAAATTCTCGTTTATCAGAACAAACCAAAACAATACTCCCAATACTCATATCAATAAGTATGGAGTATGGTTGTCTGAGACTAGTAGTCAGAATCAATTCTCAAATTGTTTTCTTTCTTACTCAAAATCATGGAAATTCAAGCAAGCAAACTACTTAAAACTACCACTGCAATATGTTGTAATTAAACTTTTAAGAGAAAGTTTCTTTCTCAGATTTAGAATAAAGAAAATTATGACATTTCAAACTACAAATAGCCTTGATTTCCCATCATTTATGTGCTTTCAATGGGGAATTAACATTTATTGCCAAGTATAATTATCTGGGAAACTGACATGGCAACCCCGTACAAGGAAGCCAATAGGAAAGGTAAGCGTCATAAGATATACTAGAAGTAATTCCAAAGTTTTAGCGAGTGTATAAGACACAATTATGGAGGCATGCACATAAAAATGCTTACAGCAACAATAACTAGAACTTACTGAAATAATCATGTCAGCTCTGCTTGCTTGGATCCCATTTACATGCCTTGAAGCAGTTGAGCCAGAGACACATAATGCCTACAAAGCATTCTAATTGTTCATCAATATGATTTTCTAGACAGAACACTGATAACTGGATGCTATGCAATTGTCAGCAGCAAAAAATATTGAAAAATATTTCTATTATAAATCTCACATCACTAGATGGTAGATACTGAAAAATATTGATAAGGTTTAGCCAATCAATGGAAAACTACACATGAAATCTAATTGAAGCCAAGCAAACCAATAAGCGTTAAGGGAGCATAGAAATGGCACCGGGGCCTCAATCAAAGGGACACCACATTTTCTCATTTTGACTCAGAAGCTTTCATAACAAGGAAAAAGAACTTTCTTAATTAACTTTAAACAAACCTTATCCTTTTTTTTTTTTTTCCCAGCCAGAAGAATATATCTCAGTTATGTTCCTTGTGAGAGGGAATGAAAAATCTATACCATTTTGCTGACACAAAGACAATGTTTTTTTTTTTTGTTCAGGAGCTCTTCTAGTAAGATTGGAGGAGAAAGAAGACAGAAAAGCCAAAAAGCCAAAGAGTGGACCATTTCTTATAGAAACCAGGTCAGGACGAATATTAACTCAAATCAGACCCAAACATCCCCCCTCCTCAAGTGTTCACTAGAGAAAGTGAAAAAGGAAAATACTCATGGTCTGCATTTGTGACAAAAACAATTTTTGATCCATAAAGCTAGCTGAATTGTGCTAGACTCATGGTAACCTACAAAATTATAGTATTCCATCATATGTGACAAACATTATCACTTTTTACGATTTTTTTTTTCCCCATTGAAGAGTAACCTATAAATGAAGAGTTCAAGAGAGTGTACAAGATCACAAGAAATACCTGAATTTCAATAAGGAAAGCACGAGATGCATCCATAATCACAGCAACAGCGAGTCCAGCCAAAAACTCAGAATCTGAGTGCTGATCTCCACTTAAAAACATCTCGCTGGGGCTGGACACTGCTTGCAGCCCCAACTGTGACATTTCAAATATTCCAAGCTGATAACAAATACGCCCATAAATGCAATAACTAGTGGTTCAGATCAACAATTTGAGTAAAATAAAGAAAAAGAACTTATTAGACTTCAGTAGAACCAATCAGAATCATTCACTTGCAGAAGCAATAAAAAGCTATAACTTCCTCATCACTACTTACTTCATCAATTGACCCAAAACGGTTCTTGACAGCTCGAAGCAAACGATGAGATGAATACTTCTCACCCTGAAAATGAGAAAAGCACTTATGTTCTCGGTGCTACACATTTGACCTCAGAACTGATTCAAAGAAGTACTAAACAAACTGTTTTCTGTAATTTTTGCAGATTATATTGATCAAGAAATATATTGGCAACAATCAGAGGAACATTTATCATTAAAGAAATAATTCTTAAAGAAAAAGGAAAGATAGAGATTACACCCCACTGCTTCTTTTATAATACCAAGTTTTAATAAAAGCAGTTTCAGAAATTTATAATGGACCACTAGTTTCTTGGAATATTGTAAAAGACATTTTCACCATCATAATTTGGACAGGTAAAATACAACAGCATATATTCAAATCCCAGCCTTTTCAAATTGTAGGGAAGTTAAAAAATATGACATTTTTCAAATTTCTTTTGATATCAGATAATGGACATCATAAACAAGATACCTTGCCTCTTTCTATCATATGATATACTTTCAAACCAAATGCTCATTATTAATGTAGGTTTCATTAGTTGGGCTATGCATAACATCAGAAA